TGCGAATATATGGACAGCAACATGATAGTTTGTGATCTGTTTTTCTCAAAAACGTACCTTTTTGTTCCTCTGTTGTACATTTTTCAAAGATGTTGGTTCACAATTGACCCCTTTGGTTAATATCAGCAGCCCATGCGAACTGGTGTCACTAAATCCCAGAGCTGTCTGTGGTGCTGAAAACGCTGACACGTTTGTAAGAAAGGGGTGACTTTTTTTTTTTTTTTTAACCTCTCTCATTACTGCCTTCCTGTCACTTTCGGATCAATATTTTTGGTTAAACTATTTACTATAAATAGCCTCGTTCTGTGCCAGATTGTAATCCTGATGCTGTAGTGGGGTCATTGTGTTGCCACACTGTAGATTGTTAGGTCACAAGCTTGATAAAGAACGTTCTGTGCAACTTGGGGGGGAACAAGGCAATTAGTAAAAGTACAGAGGAGGCAAATTAAGAAAAGTGTTCACAATTGACCCCTTTGGTTAATATCAGCAGCCCATGCGAACTGGTGTCACTAAATCCCAGAGCTGTCTGTGGTGCTGAAAACGCTGACACGTTTGTAAGAAAGGGGTGACTTTCTTTTTTTTTTTTTACCTCTCTCATTACTGCCTTCCTGTCACTTTCGGATCAATATTATTGGTTAAACTATTTCCTATAAATAGCCTCGTTATGTGCCAGATTGTAATCCTGATGCTGTAGCGGGGTCATTGTGTTGCCACACTGTAGATTGTGAGGTCACAAGCTTGATAAAGCACGTTCTGTGCAACTTGGGGGGGGGGGGAACAAGGCAATTAGTAAAAGAAGAGAGGAGGCAAATTAAGAAAAGCTTGGGCGCAATAAGATGTGTATTGCTGAACTATTTTCATATTCAGGTACAGTAGATTTATTCAGGTCAGGTTTCCTGAAGAATTGATTCTTGGAGTGGATTAGATACAGCGGAGATATGATAAGGCAGCGAGGGTGAATTGATTTGATTCGAAAAGATGGAAACAACATTTTACCCATAAAATAAAGAAATGATTGACAATCAATCAAATTTGCTTTCACTGTTCAATGACTCTTTTCAAACGCAGATATTGACAAATTTATAGAGGTATTTATTTATTTCATGAAATATCTACTGGCAATTTCAATTTGAGTGACCATTTTTATACAACAGCTGTTTGACGAGCCCCCAAAAATGATTGCAGGCATAAGCGTTCATCTTTGCAAGCATAATCAATTTATCATTGCAGGCATAAGCTTTCTTCTTTGCGAGCATAATCAATCAATCAATCAATATCAAAATAACAATAATACCATGAATAATAAGCGAATGTATGATAACTAAAAATAATCAATCTATCACACTGCTACCTCAGAGTTTAAAATAAGTCATCAAATTGCTCGGATGTCTTGTTTTCTTTAACGGAGCGATGATTTCAAATACTCCATTTTGTTTTTTGATTTGCCAGCCACAATGGGCTCTCTTATGTTGACCGTCTCAAATGTGTTACACCGCGCGGTGTGCACAAAGTCGTGTTGAGGCGGCGTATTTAAAAAGGGGAGGTTTGCGCTCTTGTGGGCGTGAGCAAAGCCAACATCAGTTGCTAGCAACCACAACGGCTCCCGTCATTCCACTCACCGGCGGAATGTGTGGACTTGCACACAGCACATCTCTCGGCAGTGGCTCTTGTCTCCTATCTGTGAGATGCCAACGGCTAAACGGGCTTTCATCTTCTTTATTCCACTCCCCCTATTTTTCTGAGGGTACAAACGGCAGTCAGTCATAAAAGGGGTAAGCTAGTAAATATAACCCCATTTATCCTTCATCTATAGAAATGCCGCATGTGTGTATGCGTGCCAGCCTCCTCTCTACCATAAGTATATTAAAAAAATTTCCTCTGGCAAATCCCTGAGAAATAAATCCTCTTTTTTTCCTCAGTGAGGGGGTAGGGGAAGGAATGGGAGAGAAGGCTTGTCTGTCACTAAGAGAAATGTGGTTGCCGGGGCAACGTGGGATTTTTTTTTTTTTTTTTTACTGTTTGTTTGGGGGGGGGGGTTGTTTTGTTTGTTTGTTTTTTACACCGCAGCCTGGCATCAGGAGCGACTAGCTCGGAAGTTTGCTGGGAACATTTTGTGCCCGTTGAGGATGGCACAAGTTGGGAGTGATTCTTTTCTAAACATGCATTTGGGATGAATATGCTCTCATACAGGGTTGAGTAAACGTTTGTACTCAAGGGCCACATTGGATTTTGACGAAGGACTGATCAGGTCAAGATTCGCTTGTTTGTCATGTGCGCAATGAGAACACAACGCCAAGAGTTTGCAGATTCATTCTTTTGGTTGTTGTTGTAATGGCAAAAAGAATTCAAAAAGTTTGAAGTGACAAATAACATTTAAAAAGGCAATAATGCTATTTGGCCAGTAATATAAATTGTTGAGTTAAACATCAGTTAAAAGTAAACTACTGCTGCCCCCGTGTGGACAAATCTGTTTTTACAGCACATTCAGTCGCAGAGCAGCTCAGACTTCACATGAGCAAAAAGGTTATTTTAGTCATAAATATTACAAAACAAAAGTGCATTACTAGGGCTGGGTAGCGATATAAATTTCCCAAATCGATTTGAATCAATTCACAAGGGTCTGATTCAATTAATGATTCACTTTGATTGATTTTCGATTAGATTAAAAGGGTTTCACGCAGGACCAATTTTACTTTCATACGGACGACATTCTCACAAGGGGCAATGCTGCAAATCGTAGAAACTTTTAGCTCTTACTTTGTACATTTGTAAAAATATGAAAATTTACGTTAATATTTGAACCCGATGCAGTTAGTTAGATTAATCATGTATATTTTATTGAACATGACCCGATCAAAACAATCAATCATAATTTTAATCTATTCCAGCCACAAGGCAGGCCGTGTAAATAAAGTGGCAAAAACACAGTGTCAGCTCGTGACATTCACAAAGTTGTACTTTATTGCTGTCTTTGTGTTTTTTAAAAAAACTTCCAGACATCCCTTCAGGCTTGTTGGCGCTGCTTGTGGTGCTTCCACCACGTTGTTTTGACGGGCTACTCTCTCGTGATGCGAGTACTGTTGTCACATGAATAAATGGGAAAAAGACATATTGAAAGGATCCATTTATGGTCTAACGTATCGATATTAGATGATGAAAAAGGAAGAGCGAGTCGATTCATCGATTTTGTTTTCTAAACACAGCCCTCTACAATACAGTATTTTATTAATAAAGCCATTCTTTCACATTTCAAATTTGCCCAGCTTTGTTCTAAGGATCCAAAGTTTCGCTTTTTCTTTGGCTTTTCTATAGTCGTTTTTGAAAAAGGAGTTCTTTCACATTTCAAATTTGCCCAGCTTTGTTCTAGGGTTTCCAAAGTTTCGCTTTTTCTTTGGCTTTTCTATCGTCATTTTTGAAAAAGGACTACTCATCAACAAAAAGTGATTCTTTTGCTCATATGACACTTCACTCCAACTCAATCTAACCCTGAACACTTCTTACAATTTTCAAGGCAACGTTGTAGAAATTCCATTGTAGATTTAGTGGAAAGACAGGGACTGTTGATTTGATTAATTTATTGCTTTCACAAATTCATTCATTTCCATCCAAACACACTCACACAAATAAAGACGGCAGATAAAAGCATTTTCTGTCTTCCGTTGTGAAGACCATCTTCTTCCTCGCCGACCCGTACCGGCAAAGAGCAGAAATAACGGTGAGTGAGCTTGACGGCCTGGATGAGCACAATGCCGTATTTCCTTTAAGACTGCAAAGTTTCCACTCGGGGAGCTGAGGTGAGGTAGCCAGCGCACTTCAAGACTCAATGCAACTTCCATTCAAATGTCCACACAAAAAGTCATGCTTGTGTTCATGATCAGCTACAATATTTGATTTCTGCTGTGGTCACAGCAGAACACATAAAAGTCAAAGGTCAGAGCCGAAGATAGAATGCTCACCAAAATGTCGGCATATTAGCCTTGGGGGTGACATTTCAAGACGAATCTAAAAGGCACTGTAACCTTGGTGCAGTTATCTGCTGAATGTTTCAGTTTTTTTTTTTGCGCAACTTGCTGTTCAACAACATGTAGCCCAGCGGCAAAATGTACAAGGGTTTCAATACGAAGCCTTTCTGTGACTCTTCCAGTCTTGCTGATGAGCTTTTGGTGACTCTTAGAGCTAAAGAGAAGTCTCCAGGTTCAAGAGCAGGGATGGCTAACTGGCAGCCTGCACAATTGAAAAAAAAACATTTTGGGAACAAAAATGTTTTTTTTCCCACAAACCCAAGAAATTCTTCAAAAAACACTGATGAACAGTCAATGTTTTCACCAAGAAAAACAATAGGAAATTGTGGGAGCGGGGGGGGGGAATCCCCCCCAAAACCAGCAAAAAATCCAAAATGTGAAAAAATATTGAGCGGAAAAAAAAGAACAAATAGCTGCAAATATGCGAATCCATGGGTGCAATCACCACTAGATGACAGACACATTTTGTTGTGTTTATATTTGGGGGGGGGGGGGGATTTGGAATGAAAAGCAGGACAAAGTCCCACAAAAAAAGAATTTATTTTTGTGGTTGGGAGGGAATGTACAAAATGAGTTTTTTGCATTTAATTTCGGATTCTTGTTCGGCAGTTTTGTGTCGCCTTTGAATGCAAATATTTACACCAGAGAGCCATTTATGCTGGTGAGAAAAAAATTAATCACAGTATGTGGTTATTTTGTTGTTTGCTTCAAACATTTTGTTGGTGTTTTAGTGAATCATTTATATACGTTGTCGATCTCTGTCAACTTTGGGCCTGTGAAGCCCTTCGAGACACTTTTGAGCACTTTTAAAGACTCCTCAATTCCAGTCAACTTGACTCTGTTGCAACTTGCTGATGACTTCATACTCTTAAAACTCAGTGGCTACTTCCTTGTTAAAGCCTAATACTGTAGATCATTTTTTCAACGTTGGCTTTGTGTCATGATGTCAATACGTCAACAGCAAGATGAAGAGGACTATTTCAATTTGAATTCTGATTGATCCAGGACAGACATTTAATGGTTCATTCGAAGATCAAATACCATTTCCGAATTTTGCTGTTTGAGAACAGCAAGTTGTGCAAAAAGTATTGGGACTAAACAGTTAGACGCACAGAACACACATGCCAGAAACTGCCACTGCACTTTGGATTTCAAAAGTTTACAGAAAGTCAAATGAAGTTCACCTGTAAAAAGAGAGGCACACAGGCTGCCCCGCGTGTTTCGTGAAAGAGTCACTGCTTGATACAGTTCAGTTGTATTTAACTTTTAAGTTCCTTTAGTTACATTTTACTAACTAGTTTTTTTCCCCCTATATTTAAGTACAGGTTTAATGTTCGACCTGCATAATGTTACAGTGGCCAGTGTCATAGTGCATTTTAGGTTCCCCTTGAAATTTCACCCAAAAGTCCAATATCCCAAACTTTTTTTTTTTTAAATTATGTATGTGTGTTGATAATGGATGATCATACATTGACATCCAAAGAACAAAAGGCAGTGTCGCGCCAGAGGTGGGAAAAAAAAACGGAGCAGCTCCTGAATCTCAAACGGGATCCTTCGTCCCCACTCACGAGTCATCTCCAGGCACGCCACCGTGAGCGTCCTCCCCAAAAAGGCACTGGACTCGCGGCGTAAGGGCGAGAGGAAAGGTTGCCTGCTGCCTTGGTCAGCCATCTGGTGGCGAGCGCATCCTCCTCCTCATCAGGAAGCTCGGCGTTCGGTCCAAGCAGAGTCATGGACGCCACCGTCAGTGGATCTCAATGTGGACCTGACAATACATGAGTAATGGGAAGGAAACTAAACGGTTTGGACTTCACTTCCACCATTGTAACTTGAAACACTCACATCTTAAATGTCATTAATCCGTTCCTGCCCGCCATAAAAGACCAACAACGTAATGTTTATAACAACAAAACAGGCACTCTATGGCAGGAGTCCCCAACCGCCGGTCCGCGGACCGGTACCGGTCCGCAGAGCATTTGGTACCAGGCTGCACAGAAAGAACTTGCCTTAATTTCGTTTTATTTATTTCGGAAGACGAAAGATGTTTTATTTTGAAAAATTACCGTATTCTCCGTTACATCCGTCTGTGTCACGCTTGACACACGTCAAGCCACGCTTCTCCGTCACGTGACCGATTACGCTAAAAACAAAACGCCAGAGCTCGCAAAATGAGTAAAAAAACTGCTGGAGATCGCAAATGATGGCGGCCTTAAAAGTACGTTCAAGACAACTGGATGAAAGTTATGGCTGAATATTCTGAGATCGCCACAGTAGCACTGTTGCTATTTCCGACATGCTACCTGTGTGAGGTGGGGGTTTTCTGCAGCAACAGCGACTAAAACAAAATTACGAAGTAGATTGAACATAAAACACACATTTGAGGTGTCATTGTCTCCTATTACCCTGAGATGGGACCGTCTGGTTGCAGAAAATCAAGCTCGGGGCTGTGGTGAGTCATCATTTTCATGCACTTTGAATTTGCATTGTATCGTATTTTGAAGGCATTAAACATTAACATAGCAATCAGAGTGTTGCGGCCAGATTAGACGCTCCTTGTATTTATTATTATATTTCAAAAACACCACAGTTTTCATGCAGCTCATACCATATTATTTTGTTGTATTATTTCCGCCACACCTTAAATGCCGGTCCCTGAAAATATTGTCTGACATAAACCGGTCCGTGGGGCAAAAAAGGTTGGGGACCCCTGCTCTATGGTATTGTACTTCATAAAAACATAGTTACACTAACGTGATTAAAGAGGATGTACAGATATTAAACACTTTGTGCATCATCATTTCATGCAATGTGCGGCTTGGCAAAGCAAGAGCCAATATTAGATGCGACGGTATGATAACTGTGACTAATGTCGCAGTAACACAGTAGTATAATTACACCTCTAAAATCACCTTTTTTTTTTAAGTTTTGGGGAAATTAAAACAGCTTTTATCCCATTGAACACAATGTATTTTATCCCATCCATCCATTCTCTAATCCGCTTCTGCTCACAAGGGTCGCGGACTTTCTGGAGCCTATCGCAGCTGTCTTCGGGCAGTAGGCGGCAGACACCTTGAACTGGTTGAGGTATTTTATTTGTAAACAAAATACTGAATATTTGGTATAGAACAAATGTGTACCATGTTCAGTATATATAAGTAAAAAAACTTTCACATTCTTCTTCTTTTTAGTAAGTGTCCTTGGGGCTACCCAGCACTTGCAGGCACCATTTTTCCACTTCTTTTCAACATGATTCCCTTGCAAAAGAAATTCTGAATCTCAAAGGGACTCATCCTGACTAGCTAAAGGTAAAGAAAGACGAAATGAAGCAAAATCATTTTAAAAAAACATGTAAAACCACTCTCGCAAAATACCGTAAGCATTGTTTTAACCTTTGATGGATACAAATGAATGAACTGTTTTCTGCTGTTGTGTCCATTTGACGTACCTGAAGTCTGACATTAAACATCATCGAAGCGACAAGATAGATGTAGGGGAATCGGATACGTAGTCGCCAGGCCAAATCGAAGAATATCAACAAAGTCCTGGTCAGGCCTTTAGAAAACACTCCGTAGGTGCGCCCCGCGGTGCCCGAGAAGCGGAGCACCAAGTGAGACAGCCCCGTCATAGAGACCAACGAGTTAGCCCCCGGGGCTCACTCGGCGGGCACAGCACGGAAAGAAGAGACGGCTCGGGAGCGACGATTCATGACTTATCCCGACGCCGAATGACACCTACGTGCAACTGTTGACACCGGCTTTGTTTGACTTGTTGTGTTGGCGGCAGTGCTCCACCCTAACCGCTGCCTTTCTTTCTATTCCTCCTAAATGGTGTTGTTGTCATTCAGGGGGACTGAAAATGCAGGGACATGATTATTTTACCCCTGAGTTTAGACTGTCAGGCGAAAAGACGCCACGAAACTATTCATGCTGACTAATTTTCCATTTTGTAACGTTTCTCTTGACTTCTGCACTTCAAGCAAATGTATCTTTATTTAATTAGTTATTTATTTTGTTCATTGAGATTTCATCTTAAATGTGTTGCCCAATCTACTCAGGGCCTTCACAACTAGTAGAGCTAGCCAATGTGCAGTAACATAAGCATTATTTTTAGCAATTTGACTTTTTCCTTTCACCAGTTAGATTTTAAATTCATCCTGACAGGGCCAGAGTGCTGGCCCTCGACAACGCCACAATTTTCAACGTCTGATTCGTTGGTCAGAGTAAAACTTGTTGCTGCCAATTTCGACATGAGTGGCCGCACACAGTATTGCTGAACCCCGCTATTCACGTCCACCCGTAAATAGCCAAAATATGGATGGAATTGACTCGCATTATAAATGCACAGATTTTTTTTAACACAAAAAGTAATTGAATGGGGATAAAACTACAAGTGGCTGCCAAAAGTAAATAAATAAATAAACAAAAAAAGTCTCGCCCCCCCAAAAAAATCTGCAAATAAATAAAACAGCCGTCGCTGTGTGGGTTTCCACTGTACGTTTTATAAGCAGCATTAGTACTGCATAAAACGTAGTTTATATAAATGTGTTGTGTTTTTGGTAATTAGATACATACTGATTCTAAACTGTTCCAGTTGATGTACATGGCACAGTTGCCTGCAGTTATGTTGCATTGTATAGGTTTGATTGTTCATATAATTGCAAGATGCAACATGATGGTGATCATTTTTAGAAGGTCCTTATGTGATCCGTATTCGCTTCTCTCAGCTGTCACTGTGCGAAAGGTGGGCTGCACCCTGAACAGGTTGTCAGCCATTTTTCAATAAACTGTCTTAACTGTGTCCGCAGCTCAAAAGACTCCACTTTCACATCATTTGCTGTGCTTTGGTGCACAATTCAAACAGCAGCCATCGAAATAAGTCTCAATAAACATTCGCTGAAATATAACGGAAAGACAAAAGAAATCGTAAGTTTGTTTGTGACTTCCTGGAATATGGAAACAACCTGAAAGACAAAATTCCGGTTACTAAACATGTGTCAATCGGAAAAGGATGCGCTGGTGTGACGTCATGTGCTACACATGAAGTCGTCCGCCTGGCATTTTTCTTCTGCACCTTTACGCACCCCTAATCTAAAATTACGCTTTTGTTCAAAATACTAGCGCACATTAAAATGTTATATTAATAATGAAACCCTCGCATTTAGTCGAGAGGAAGAATTATTTCCAAGACAACAAGTCGTGGGCGGAACACTCCAGTAGCCCGGATGTATCAACTGGTGGCGGTAGCGGAATTGGTTTTTTTCCGCCCCCCTCCTCTCCTCTCCCCTCCTTCTTCTCAGGGGTGGTGGCTGCTGTTTTGCTTCGTTAGCTTCCCGTTCGACAGCATGGGAATGTAAGCGAGGAATCTCCCGAATCAAAGTTGCGTCAAAGTGCTCCATAAGTTGAAGCAACTTCGCCAACAGCATCTTTCCGAATCCCCGGAGCACTTGGACCGGCTGGAGCGAAGCTTGCAGTGGATTTGAGCGGCCAAGCCATAGTGGACAAAGGGAAGACTTGCGAGCTAACGTCGGCTAGCTCCCGGGGCAAACCTTAGCATTCCACCATCTAGTGCGGCGCAATGCAGGCCATCAAGTGTGTCGTTGTCGGGGACGGGTGAGTCAATTGAGGGCGAGCCATTTTCTCTCTCTCTCTCTCTCTCTCTCTCTCTCTCTCTCTCTCTCTCTCTCTCTCTCTCTCTCTCTATATATATATACATACACACATATATAACCGAAACGTAGATTAACCAAGCGATTGCGTCAACGTACGGGTTCAACATTTAAAGCCTCTTTCGTGGTTCCCCAACTTGGCTGTTGAAGTAGTTTGATCTTAAAAGTTAGCTCGTTGGTATTATCAAATTAATGCGTTTCGATAACTGATTACAAATACTACATTTGCCGAGCCAAGCCGCTACTCAAATTGCACTCTGGAGTCGTTATTGTCTCGCTTTTACTTTAGATTTGCAAGCCTTGTCGGCCACCGTATGTTTGCATTCCTTCCCTTTGGTTGCGATATGTCAGAACGCGTGGGAGCTTGCGCACGCGCCCCTTATTCTGGGTGTGGTGGTGGTGGATGCCACAGCAGCAGAGTCATATGTGGATCTGCTGCTGCCTTTCTTCCTTCCTTCCTTTTCACCTTGATTTTTGACACAGCGGCCGCCCACCTCGGCAGCATGTACGCGAGACGTTGGAAATTTCCCATTTTGAGATGAGCCACTTACTTGCGATTACACCGTTTGCTGGTTGGCTTTTGTCATTTTTCCTATAGGAAGTAAAACCAAACTGTTACATGTTCAAACTGTTATCACGAGTCAAAAAGAAAACGACTAATAAGCCATAATCGTACAGGTTGTTTAAAACTGACAAGTAGAAAGCAAAGGTATCCAATGGACAAACTAAAAATGAGGTGAAAAAAAGGTAATTGCCCTTTCAGGATATTTGACCGACAGAAAACAGTAGACTGACAGTAAACAAGTTGTCCTGGTCATTAGTGAAAGTTCGCTACTGTCCAGTAAACCTGAAACAGAGTAACCATACCCTGCTTTTGAAGATGCCTGACATTACTTTTGTAAATCACCTTTGGAAGCTGACAATCTGTAACCATTATAAAACATTTCTCGGCATGTTGTTAATGGTCCAACAAGAGGAAAGCAAAGTTACCCTCTATAAAGCAGAATTACTGTAAAGGAAAACTACACCCACTTTGAGGATGATCCGCGTTATTGTATCTGTCTAGACCAGTGGTTTTTAACCTTGTTAGAGGTACCGAAACCAACTGGTTCATTTTCACATTCACCGAACCCTTCATGAGTGCAAAATAAAAATGTGATTTATTTATTTATTTTTACGAATTCAAGACGTTAAAAAACACATTTACTAAAAACAGGAAAAAAATTCAATAAAATTTCAAGACATCAGGGGTTTTTTTTTAATTGTGCACAAAATGAATCAACCACTGATGGCCAAGCAGGCGTGTCATAAATAATTGACATTTTGAGTCAGGTGTGTCTTGACCTCCATGGCAGAGGCTCCGTCGAACCCCTGAGACCGATTCACCGAACCCCTGGGGTTTGATCGAACGCAGGTGAAGAACCACTGTAGTTCTATTATTGCTCTGGAAGGTGGGGCAAATCCATGCTGAGTGGGGGCAGTATTAACGCTCTTTTATGATCAGAAGGGGAGGGGGGATATCCCAGAAGGGGAAATTTTGAAAATAGTTTTGTCAATTAAAAATCCATTAAATTGAAAACAAAGTCCTGAAATATGTTCCAGGTGATCATTTTACCATTACAAAAGCTTTATTTCACTGTGTCAATTGTTATTAACTGTCAAACAAGTGGAATGCTAAGTTCCACTTGTTTGATAGTTCATCATGATACACTAAAAGTAAAGCTACTCTCCATTTGGGTTTGCCTGGCAGATTAAAAAAACAGACTTGACATCGGTCTTGTTGATGTTTTTTTTTTTTTTTTTTAAAGACACTTTTTTTTTTCAACTCCGCTGAGTTTGCAAGTCCAGCAGATGGATTATATTGTGTCTGTCTGAATCGTTAAGTGTCCAGCACAGTTGAACATTGGTTGCTTTTCTCCGTCCTCCCCGCAGAGCCGTGGGTAAGACCTGCCTGCTCATCAGCTACACCACCAATGCCTTTCCCGGAGAGTACATCCCCACTGTGTGAGTAGTTGTTGTCCTCTTCCTCCTCATTACCGCCACAGCCCTCCCATTACTGCATTTGTGGCCAGAGATAAGGCGGCCTGACAAGATGCAAATCTCTCGCGCTCGCCCAACTTTTCTGATCATTTTCCAACCTTCCAGGGTGGTGCTTGAAATTCAGGAAATTGTAGATTCACCCCCCAATTATTTCTCAAGGTTTGGAAATTCCTTGAATTGGATCAGTTGGAGAAAGTTTCCATGATGCTCGCTGACTGAATAGTTTGCTTGTGAAATCTTAAGCAAAAAAAAATTCTAACAATAAAGACGCTGAGAGTATGTCAGCATGTTCTTGAGTGTAGAAACTAAACTTCCTGAATGTATAAGTGCAAAAGGACGGCAATTTTAAGACAAAAGATTCTAGATTTTTGTCATGTATGTGATGAATTGTGACTTTTGGAAGAATTTTTTTCCAAAAGAGAAAAAAAGACTGCATATCTAGTTTTGCATGCCTTTTATTTTATAATATATATTTATGTAATAGTGTTAATGTTTATCATCAAGCTCCATTTTTGTCTGAATAATCACTGGAATAATCGATAAAATATTTGATTCTAAAACTACAGAGTTTTGAGTATGTACAAGTACATTTGAATAAATGGGAATATTGTGGATTTTTGGGAGGTTCGGGCGTTCAGTCATTCAATTCCAAAAAAAATGAAGCTCAAATCGATTTATTCCACTCAGAATGATTTTTACTTTTTGACGCTTGTAGTTTACCAGCCCACATAAATCCCAAGCCCATGCGACAACATGTGACTGAAATCAACTAATCTGTTCTTAGGGTGTCACAGAGAGGGAAAGCAAGTGAAAGGTCAACAAGGCCTAATCTAACAATCTCCAAAAAAAATCGGATTTGACTAAAGGTTGAATGAGTTTTTGACAAATATTTGCGCACTTCTCTCAGCTTTGACAATTACTCCGCCAATGTGATGGTGGATGGCAAGCCGGTGAACCTGGGCCTTTGGGATACGGCAGGACAGGAGGACTACGATCGACTGCGCCCGCTCTCCTACCCTCAGACGGTAGCCACCAGAGCATCACACTCGCACAACCACGTTTGCGTTTTGCACTCTGACCATAAGTGTTTCTGCCCCACCCGCTAGGATGTTTTCCTCATCTGCTTTTCGCTCGTGAGTCCAGCCTCCTTTGAAAACGTCCGTGCCAAGGTGAGTCAGTAGGGTACCACCTGGATCAGTTTTGGGACCCATCAAAAAACAAAACAAAACCCACAAAAAAAAAAAAAACATTGCGTGTTTATTTTTTGCAGGATATGTGCTACTATTTATTTATTTTGTTGTGCATTGAGCAAATATTTGTAGGTATAAGTGAGCTGAAGAAAGTCTGCCACGCGAGTGGGGGGTGCACATTTTATGTAATTTGATACCTTTACTTGTGGGCAAGGGGAGCTAAAGTCGCAAATGCACTGCCATCGTGTATTGTACAGGAAGAACATTCAAATAGAAAATGAGAACATGCACAAGAAGCTACCGTAGGTCACAACTCACACTCGATATAAGGCACGGTGTTTATTCAAAGGGACAACGTAATATTATTGTGGTCCAGTGTTATCATTTGTGTGCACTGAACTCCTGATCCGTGCACTGGCATCGGGGTTTTAGTTAGTTTTTGTTTCATTTTGAATCGATTTTAATTTGTTTTCAGAACAGGTTTATTGGGCATTTTTAGTTTTTATTTTAAAAAATGTTTTGTTTTATTTATTTAGTTTATTAATAGAGGGAGTATGCAAGTTAAGAAAAAAAGGGTCACTTTGTAAGAATGAACCCAAAAATCTCATGTATGATACTGACAAAGGAGAAAAGTCAGGGCATTTTAGCTATAATCTAGTCACTTTTCTAACTTCAGTTAGCTTGGGTTTTTATTATATTTTGTTCACGATTCAAGTGTAGTTCTTTTGTCAGTTTACGTAAACTCTGATAACCTTGACCGGCAGTGGTACCCTGAGGTGAGACACCATTGTCCCAACACCCCCATCATCCTGGTGGGCACCAAATTGGATCTGAGAGATGACAAGGACACCATGGAGAAGCTGAAGGAGAAGAAACTGGCTCCAATAACTTATCCCCAAGGCCTGGCCATGGCCAAAGAAATTGGTACGCAACTTCCTTTAACCTCCGTCATTGTTTTTCCAAAGTCCAAGTGGAGGTTTTGCAAATGTTTCATTTCAGTTCATTACAAAGCCCGTCAGTATGCCTTCATAAAGGACTGCGGAAATTAGAATACTTACTGTTGAGATGTTGAAATCGGAGGACTTGGTCAATTTGAAGTAACACAACGGCCCTCAAGATTAATCGATGATCAAAATAGCTGTCGGCGTATGTCATAAGTGATTAGTCGTCAATTAATTGATTCATTGTTGCATCGGACTGGAACAGATTTTGGCATTACAATTCCATTTCAATGGGGAAAATTAATTTGACATGACAAAGCTGAGTTATGAATAAATGTAACTCACGACAAGGTCCCGCTGTATTAAATATTAATTGTCAACAGCGGCAGATGACGTCGGTTGCACCACGGCGCGCTGTTGTTTTGCATTTTTGCCTGGCATTGACGCTTTTCATATATGTCACGTCAAAGTGGAGTATGCGGGGTCCCAATCGAACGCCCAGGTATCAAATGTTTGACGCCCACCCCAAACATCTGTAACCACTCAGGTTCCGTCAAGTACCTGGAGTGCTCCGCCCTGACCCAGCGCGGCCTTAAAACGGTGTTCGACGAGGCCATCCGTGCCGTCCTGTGCCCGCCGCCCGTCAAGAAGAAGGGCAAGAAGTGCAGCCTCCTCTAAGAGTGGTCCTCGTACCAGCGGAAGGGCCGGGAGAAACGACGCCAGTATACCTACCCACCAAAATAACAATGTACTTTTTGCTTCCTGTAAAACGTAGCTGCAGCGGTTCTCCCGACTATCCCCCCCCTTCCTCATTATAACATTGAAAGGATTGTAACGTTGTGTACTGTAAAGACAAGAATGAAAATGTCGAACTTCATTGAGGCCTTAAGTTAGATCCATTTGCCCCACTCTCATTTTGTTTACAGTCTGGGTTCTTGTCAGTAGGACTCGCATTTCAAAATGCACCCTTCCGGAAATGCGTCCACGCTGCTATTTGTTTGCTCCCACAATCGATCGTTCGCAAATCCCTCACCAGCAGTTACATTTTTATTTTGTTTTTTTAACACCGACAGTGCTATTAACCCTCAAACACTCCTAAAACCATCCGGGCAAAGCATTTTCTTCCCCCTCTCCCCAGACATGTCTTAAACTATGTCACAATGTAGATTTTTGGAACAGTTGGTGGCGGGGAACAAGAGCACCATTGATGCTCCTTGGGCATTTATCAGCAATTTTTTTTTTTTTTACTCCTTTGTTTATTTTGAAATCGCATCACTACTGGCGAAGTGAAGTCACTTAAGACGACGAGCATCTGTGCCTGTCAAACAAAGCTACTGTCGGTTCTGGCGTAGTAGATGGTGTACTCCTCTTTGTTATAATCATGTGATTTGATTTTTTTTTTTTTTTTGTATCTTACACTCCACTCACTGTATTGTTGGACTAACACTATGAATACGCTTTTATTATTTGTTTGTCACCTCTTTTACAGCTAACGCTACTTTAATTAATAACCTCCCGACCAAGCCTGTCTTTGTGTAATGACGCCGATGGCATGTATGTGCGACGTATACTGAAAAAAACCTTCAAATTAGGATCGCTGCATTTTTTTTGTTTGCCTCTTTACAAAATGTATTTAAACTACTAGTACAAGGAGTTAAAGAACACATTGCTCATCTGTTGTTTTTTTTTCTATTCAGACATCAAGCTGTGCTTTAATTCAAGCCAATGTCATTGTGACTCCTTTTACGAATACAAAGCTATTGTCACTTTTTTTTTTTTGTTTTTGAAAAAGCCAATAAATTTCAATAAAATTGAACCCGGGTTGTGTGATCCATCATTTTCATCGACCGACACTGACACTTATGACAAGAGCAAAAATTTGTAATGTATGCCCACATATTTTTCATTCATTGCCAGTATTAATATAAAGCATAATTTTTACCCCAAACTAAGATCCCCAAAAACTGTCATTTCGAACTCAATAAAAAAACAATTGTTTTACAAATGAAATAAAAATGCTCAGAAAGTGTGAGCGTGCCACTGTGTACGGTATGTTGGCGCTTTGCAAACTGCAAAACAATTACTACTTTCCTGTGAGCAATTTCATTACATTTTTGACTCAGCGATGCATATTCTCATTACTTACTGAAGCTTACGCTGAGCAGCAAGCTGCTGTGCCAAAAAACACCAGAAACAAATCATGCTCATGACTTTTATTACATAAATCAAAAACCTGACAAGGTCTAGAACAGTAAGTATATTTCATGAACCCACAGGGTTTTAAAAAGTTTTGCAGACATCACAAAACGATACAGAACCAAGATGAGCGGCTTTTTATTCTCCTCGTCACTACTTCAGGAGTCAACAAATCGTAATAAAGTTCCCGAAGTAGTTGGTATGCTAGAAGAGAGGGGAAAAAGAAGAAAAAAAAACAGTTGGGACGAATGTGAGACAGTGGAAGCAAACAGGTTGTATCCAATCCTCATGCAAATTTGTTTTCATTTAAATATAATTTTGCCCATAGTTAAAGAAGAGAATATTTATTCCAGCTCCTAAAACCTTTATGAACTGCACAAGCAATGATTTAATTAACATTAACATTATTGACGAGCAAAAGAAGTCGTTAACTATTGTGTAATATATACATTCTGTAAATTCTTTGATTCCACGTGGTGCCATAACACGAAATGGGAACGATTTTTTTTTAAATTAAATAAGGACTTCACAATCAGCTTAATACTTCAAGATATATGTATAAACGAAAATACTACATATTTTTTAAATGTTTAATTTATCGTGTAACGAATAAATATGAAACAAACAGTATATTATATTTTATAAAACAATTTTATTTGCACTAACCAGCTCAAATAACAGTAATAGTTTAGTGTTTCTTTGACGAATTTGCATAATACACAATATTAAAACAATGTATTTTTTACCATTTCATTTCAAATATCGTTCACTTTTTTTACTTACATCCCAACATATTATACTATAAAAATAATTTAACAATTTCATGGACCCTGATAACATGATAGCTGTCCACTGACGTAACCGCTGTCCCCGAAAGGGTTAAGCATGAGTATCTAGAAACGTGTTTCTTCAAAAAATTTGAATATTCATGACATTTTAACTACTATAAGAAGAAGAAAAAAATAATCTATGTTCTGTTTGACTTGTAAGACACCCCCCCACCACACCCCCCTCAAAATTAGACTTGAACTCCAAAGTGTTCCATTGCACAGATGTATGACATTCAGCATAAAAGGCGGTGAGACAGCAAGCAGGAAGATAAAAGACTGCCGTTTATTTACCTGTCCACCAGCTCGGCGCCGACGAGATCGTGGATGTGGTACTTGATGTGGAATTTCACTTGCGAGGTGGTCCGCCGCCCCTCAAGCTCGGCCTGTAACGCTTCTCCGTACCTGGACTTCTTCACCATGCTCAGCACGCCCTTCCGACCTGGTAGGCGGGCAAATGGTCACAGGGGGGTGATTGGGAGACAACGTTCTACCGTCGAACTGTACTGTCAAACTTTTCACCATGATGTCACGCATACTGCACTTCTTTTTTTTTCCCCTGCCACCATTAGCAAACTTCTCTACAGTAATCCCTCGCTTATCGTGGTTAATGGGGACCAAAACCACCCGCGATAAACGAAAATCCGCGAAGTAGCGTCCAATTAACATAAACAGGTTAAAAAAAAAAATTATGTCCGCAAACGGTCCGCGAGAAGCTGCAAAACAACAGCGAGTCACATAGAGCAACATATACAGTACTGCAGGGGTCCCCAACCTTTTTTGGCCCACGGACCGGTTTAAGTCAGACAATATTTTCAGGGACCGGCATTTAAGGTGTGGCGGATTAATACAACAAAATAATATGGTATGAGCTGCATGAAAACTGTGGTGTTTTCGAAATATAATAATAAACACAAGGAGCGTCTAATCTGGTCGCAACGCTCTTATCGCTCTGGTAATGTTTAATGCCTTCAAAATACGATACAACGCAAATTCAAAGTGCATGAAAATGACGACTCACCACAGCCCCGAGCTTGATTTTCTGCAATCAGACAGTCCCATCTCGGGGCAATAGGAGACAATGACACCTCAAGTGTGTGGTTTATGTCCAGTCTACTTCG